TGCTTAATGGCAATCTGAGTATGCCCGTGCACTACTACTGCGAGTACTACTGCGTTCGTGCGTTACTGGCTCAACCTCGTCTACGCTGGAAGTCAGGACACCTTATCGTTGTACCAGTAGCATTGCGCAACACCCCGAGATCAGAATCCAACATTTAATTAAATGTAAGTGTGATAATTAAGTTTTTCGTCATATATATATATATACAATTCCATACCACAGAAGTCACTAAGCTAATTATAAGGAAATTAAGTTAATCCATTTCGCGCTTCCGTGTATAATAGAAAATCACATCTTGCTCCGATTCCCTGAGTCTTCGACTACTATAATTATGTGACATTCGTTGCATGTATGTCTATGAGACATAGGACACCTGCGTCTCGCAATATAAATACACCTACCTTGATTGGGGTAATTTTATTGACACGCGACATATGTCGAGGAAACGTCAACGACATGACCGCCAATCTATTGGCATCACATATAACCCGTATTTAAATAATCAGAGCTCTCCCATCGCGATCATCCTCTATTAGTACTGAACCTAAACTAGATTAAACTGTCCTTAAAGAAATCCGACAAGAATTCGGCTCGTCATCGTCATCTGACATCTTGGGAGCTTTATAGGATTTTCCCAGCGTGCATTGCACGAGTTTTAGGCAACTGCTAGGTGCTTAAAACAAGAAATATAGTTTACGACTAGAATTTAAGAAATTGTTTACTAATTTAATGAATCTATGCGTAATGTATTGGGTTTGATTTTTTCAGACTGTAATAAAAATAAAAATTAGTAGGCTACATCAGGCTTTTCATAGATCAGTATTTACATTTTTGCATGCAAGTGTAGAGTAATCTTTGTCTTTCAAACGCATAGTTTGTCTAATAGCCAAAAGGTCTCCATTTGTCCTTTTCCCTGGAATTAAAAAAGGTGAAGTTACGATAGTAGCACTATTATTTATATTTTACACGGGGCTTTTTTACGTAAAAATTCTCTTTGGTGTGCTTTAACATTAGGGCTTTTACTCTAGTCTGAGCAACTGATACGTTTAACAGCAGACGCTATTAGTGCGGTAGCAATATATACATAGTGATTTTCTGCCAGTGTAAAACACGGCGAATACATGTGATATACGCTAGCAATACAGGACTTTGTATCGTCATCGTTTTCATATTTCATAAGAATATAATATGTGTTAAAAATTGCCTATCGTGGGTGCCGTTTTCAGAATCAAGAACATATAGCGTGTGACACAAACGCGAGCACTGTTACTGATTGCTTCGACATTGTTGCGAGAATGTTTGCTCACTGTAAAATACCTTAACATTCATTTTTCCGCGCGACTGAATTTTATATTGAGCATTCTTGCTGATGCCTTCCCTTGTAGCCTCCGTGATGTGTATCTTGAGCGCTGAAAACGCAAGAGAAATAATTCGGATTATTCATTGACAAGCCTCGATTTTAATCAGTTGCAGTGTAATATATGCGTGTTTTATACCTCATTCAATGTGAGCCGCAATGGGCATGTAAATATCTATCGTCAGTCACGGATTGTGTGCATTGTCGAGTTGAAATAGTCATAAGGTGTTTATTATGAGAATTACAACATTAGGTGAATTGCGTTATTACGTTTGAATAATACAACATTTTATCGGATGTACGTCAAGTTACACAGCATGCAGGCAACAATGTTGGGATTCTTGTATCATAATTTGTTAACATTATAATCTTTATATTGACCGATATAATTACATGTACGTGACACGCGATATATGACAAAGGTTTTCTATCACACAAAGTTTGGTTAGGGTGATCACCGCTATTTAGAAGAATGAGAGCACGCGACCCAATTATCAGCAAACCTTTAACGCAAACCTTTCACATATTACCCCCCCCCCCGCTCCATTATTTTACGTTGACCTTGACATTAAGGCTCCTTGACATTTTGCCACGCAACCTGACCTTAGTTAACCTTCGCGATCGCACGCGGGGGCGTCTGTTTTTCTCGCGTCTCATAATACCGTCCATTCACATGCGATCACATCCACGCATACACTGCTGTTATTTGTTTACGGGACAGCTAGGCTAGCGTGACCTTTAATACGGTATTTTACTGTAATATAATAGAATGCCCCTCGCACAATCACGATTCAAACGAAATTACCTCTAATCTCAATCGGTCACAGAGAGAAGATTTTGATGTGTGATTATCCTTACTAACTCACTAGCATCACCATTCATACCTTACCTTTGAACCCACTTAAAAAAATCCCGAGCAAGAGGCCAATAAATAGTCGAATTGGATCCATAAAGACCGAAGTAAAAAGGAAGCGGAGATGACGAAAGAAAGAAATGAGAAAAAAACGTTGCAACACCGAGCCTTTTGATTATGAGGATAAATTCTCGAGAGTTTCCAATTCTACTTCATGGAAAAAAACCGACAAGTGACGTCGTGCGTGACCGTGCCGTAATATGATGACACTGCGACGGTAACAACAGGAGCTCTAATATCTGGTGTCGCGTGTCCGGCTGATTGCCGTACGTATCAGCTCGGAATGATGGTGATGGTAACGACGACGACGACGACGACGATGATGATGATGATGATGATAATGATGATGACACGCACGGTAAACCACGCTGTCACGTGAATGAGTCCGTCAATTGTCGGTTGAATGACGATCAAATGATACGTTAATGGCGGTGCTGCGCCCTTTAACAAGTAGCTGTGCTATGTGTGGGTCTCCTTTCTGTCTGCACCTGAGAGGGTTACACGCGCAGAAAAGAAAATGTGTTTGATATAGAAAAGACGGGCACTTTTCACCTTACACGCACGTGCGCGCACACACGCGCGCACACACACGCACGCACGCACGCACTACAACTAGGGCTATAGTACTAGAGCTAATAGCGTAAACGACCACACCTAATTCCAACCGATCTAAACATTAAAAACATCAAGCGGCAATGAACACAACTCATCGAAGAGAGAGAACGCGCGCTGCGATATCTTCAACATCACACAAACCGCAGGTATAGCTATCCGTGCAAAAACTCCCTACGATATGACGCGAATACGAACGTTCGAAATTCGCCGTAAGCGTCTCGTGCGAATTCCAGGCACGGAGAGCTATATACATGTATGCGGTTTCATGTGATTCTGAGGATATCCCCGAACGCGTGCATTCTTTTCGATGTGTTGTGTTTATTGCCACTCGATTTCGTTTACGTTTAGATTGTACGATGTGTTTAAAGCTGGGTTTACACTGCCAACTTTGTGTTGGCGAATTGACGAATTGGACCAACTTCCCAACGCTCTATCAACCGTTCTATGAAATGTGCAGCGCGTTTACACTGACGACTGCGAGTTGGCCGACTCGATCGAGCGGTCAGCGTCGACCGCGAGCGTACACGTGGGGCGATGGATATAGGCATTATTGCATGTATAACTTCTTGAGGTATCGCACGCACGGGCGCAACGACTCGTGCACAGTCACATAGTTGGGATGCCACGAGGGCAGTGGATTACTGGAGGAGTTGCCCATTGGATTTGTCCATGCTCGTGATGCCGACCTCCTGCTCATGTGCACGTGCGCGTGTACGTGCGCGCACGTGTGTACCTTCCCCGTGTACAACAGGTGTACGTGAGTGTACGTATCTGCCGTACACAGATGCACATGAACGCACGCGTACGCACACATACACGGTTGCGTGCACGTACACGCATGCGCGCATATACACGCATGCTCGCACGTACACGCTTGCGCGCACATATACGCATGCCTGTACGTACACGCATGCGTTCGTATACACGCATGCGCGCGTATACATGCATGCGTGCACGTACACGCGTGCGTTCGTATAAACCCATGCGTGTACGTACACGCATGCACGCCTATACACGCATGCGCGCACGTACACGCGAGCGTGCACGTACACGCATGCGCGCACATACACGCATGCCCGCACGTACACGCGGGCGTGCGCGTACACACCTGCGCGCACGTACACGCATGCCCGCACGTACACGCGTGCATGCACGTACAAGCATGCGTGCACGTACACGGTGCGTGCGTATTCACGCATGCGCGCGTATACACGCATACGCGCACGTACACGCATGCGTGCATATACACGCGTGCGTGCACGTACACCCGTGGTGCATATAAACGCGTGTGCGCACTTACACACGCACGTTCACGCGCACGCGTGCTTGGACAAACCCAATGCTGGCTTGAATTTGCAAAAGAAAATGTTTGAATATAATCGTGATATTCGGAGGAATTTTCGCCGTGTGTTCAACGTTTGTTTCGTGGCGTGAATGACAGTAGAAGTACAGACCCATACTTGACGATTTGCGTATCAGGGGCGTGTACACGGGGGGGGTCCAAGGGGTCCGGATCCCCCCTGCTCGCGCAGAAAACGCATCTGAGGGGGTCTAATTTCAAAAATCTTCCATGCTCCCAAGTTTGGGTTACGGGTGGACCCCCCCCCCCTGGTGCAAATCCTGTACACGCCCCTGCGTATACCATGTAATTTGCTAGGTCACGCACGATCTCACGTTGATGTGTAGTCTGTACGTAGCATGTGATCGAACACGGTGGTCGAACATTTATGATCGTATCGATTTGAGTAGTGTCATGCGCATGTAATACGTTGACATAATTACGGGGAAAAAATATAATCGTTCATCCGCCGTAGCTAATGACCATTAGTAGATAGAACCCATGGGTTCCTTCATGCGCTATCGCTAATCACTTCAATAAAGTTCATTCATTCGATACAAACCCGACTCGTAATTTAAAAATAACAACTATTTTTACGGAGGTAAGGAAATCCAATATAATTCCCATAATGTCGGATAATTGGGATTATTTTTCGTAACGGTTTCATGCGCACTGGAAAATTTAAAGCTAAGCTAGTCTGTCACTAATGACTATGATTCTGTTCCTTTACCCACACGGATAATGGCTTCAGGAGGAAAGCAGAAATTGCTCACCTGAGTGTATGCCGATCCGAATCTTCAGAAGCTCCTCCAGGTGTGCGATTCGCACCTGCTTTATCGCTTCTAAGAGTTCTAGCGCCAGGTCGGCGATTTCCTGAAAATGTCCATCGCCGTTGGGAATAGGCAGTCCCGACGCTACCATGTACGCGTCGCCTGAAAGTTAGCCAACATTCGTTACGAAAGGCCTACACTCACTCACACTCACTCACTCACACTCACTCACTCACACTCACTCACTCACTCACTCACTCACTCACTCACTCACTCACTCACTCACTCACTCACTCACTCATTCACTCACTCACTCACTCACTCACTCACTCACTCACTCATTCTCGTATCTCTCTCTCTCTCACTTTCGCTTGCTCCTTTCTCGTGCTCTCGCTCTCTCGCGCTCGCTCTTCTCTCTCTCTCTCTCTCTCTCGCTCTCTCTCTATCTCTTTATCTCTCTATTTCTCTATATATCTCTCTCTCTATCTCGCTCATTCTTTCTCTCTCTTACTCCCTCTCTCCCTCTCTCTGCGTGCTCGGCTTCTCTAGCAGGAGGCAGAATCAGCAAATATGAAGCCATCCACGGTCGCCCCGGAGACAGAGATGCAGGTGCAGCAGCAGCATCAGACCGACAGCACCTGGTCGTGCATTTACGGATGTCGCCAGGCGTACCGGAACACCGCCGCCGCAGCGACGACTTCACGGAGGAGAGCGACGCCGACGCGTGCAGATGCTGAAGATGCTGCTCATCACGACTCTTCCTGCTCTCGCGCTGCTCGTGCAGAACGCATCCCTGCTCTTTCGCATCGTTGAAGTCCGCGTCAGCACCGCCGAGCTGCGAGGTGACATCGGGCTGAGCTTCGACCTGAGCGCGATCGTACATCGTCTGCAGATCGAGCGCGGGACGACGGCAATGTACGTCAGTTCGAAGGGAAACGCGTTCATCTACGGGAAGCTGCGAGGAACGTACGCCAACACGAACCTCGCCTTTGCGAAGATCGAACCCGTGGCCGGACGGCGACGCCGTACGGGCGGAACACTTTCGCTCGAAGCGGTCGTTGTTCGCTTACATAGCGCGACATCGTGACAACCTGGACGT